AAACTTCATGTGAAGATTACAAGCAGCTCATTGAGAGGTTAAAGGTCACCGATGGAGTCGGACCCTGTTACCTCTGAGATTTGAGTTTTCACTGTTTGTGAACCGAAGGTGCAGCTGAAGGACAAACGCTCGTTCCGCGGCGTCGAGCTCCGGGTCTTAATCCCAGACCAGAGACAAAGGTCGGCTGCGGGGGTTCGGGGTCGCTCTGACCTCAGACTGAAACATGAACCTCTCTCTCGGGGAAAAGTGCAACCGGGAGATCTTTGTCTGAGCCGCGGAAAAAAACAACTGACAGTGTATCACGCACCTTGTTTCCATGACGACAGAGTGCTCTTTTCAGCTCACCTAGCGTCTTGTTTCTGACATGAAGCTCAATAAAGTCTTTTAACATTTTAGACCTTTGAGGGTTTTTTATTTAAAGTCTGAGATTTTTACAGAATTTGTAAAAATCTGCAGGGATAAAATAAATCGATTGTGAAGACGAAGTGAAGAGAGAACTTCAGGGTTTGAACACCAAACGTTTCACGCTGCCCACCTGCACCGTTCAACAGCCTCAGACCAGACTCACACACTTACATCTATATGTCACCTCTGTGATGAAGAGGAGGAAGAGAGAGGAAGCAGAGGATGTGCTGAAGAAAGAGCTGCAGAGGAAGGTGGAGAGAAGACGAGGAGGAGGAAGAGATGATGAAGATGTTGGACGGAGAAAGACTCAGTATTGGTGTGAACGGTTCCTCAGACCAGAAGAGGAGTTCTGGGTCTGGATCAAACTGAACCTGGTTCTGTTGGTTCACAGTGAAAACACTTTGTTGGACAGTTTGGACTTTTGGACCAATCACAGGAAGTAGAGACACATTAAACCATAGAAGAAGAAGAAGAAGAAGAAGAAGAGTGGAGTACTGTGTAGTCCAACAATAACTCCACCCTAAAATCAAATCTGAACAATCAAACAAGCCTTTGTAAGGTCTGTGCTCAAAATGGTCCTCACAAATATATAAGTTCATGAACACACACACACAGACACACACAAACACACACACACACACACACACACACACACAGGCTGATTTAGCTTCTGAGACATTGGTTTGGCATTTCCAATATGCTGCCTAACACAAACCCATTACACCCAGTGTGTGTGTGTGTGTGTGTGTGTGTGTGTGTGTGTGTGTGTATGTGGGTGTGTGCATGCGTGTGTTTGTGAGAGAGAGAGAGAGAGAGAGTGTGTGTGTGTGCAGCTCTGAAATATGCAGATTAATTCCGACTGTAAAACACCCGCTGAAGAGAACGAGGGAGGAAAAAAAAGACAATCCACTTCAATTACCATGGCAACCACTCCTCCTCTAATTATTTATTTTATTTTGAAATGACAGTGATCTGAACTTTCAAAATAAAATGAAGCTGGTTATGAACTTTCTTTTTCTTTCCACTGATTTTCAAACCAGGATAAAAAATCTGTCGTTTATTTAAAACCAGAGACGATGGAGAGAGGGAGGGGGGCGACAGATGGGTGTAGTCGCTCGCCCTCCGACCCACACACACACACACACACACACATACACCTACAGAAGCAGATGCTGGAGACATGGTGTGAGTGTGTGGACGCATGTATTTAGTGGATTTGCAGAGATCAAGTGAAAATCTCACAACACAGACGCACAGCGAGGGCATCGGGTTCTGTTCATATTCATCGTGACTGAAAACTGTCCACAGAGAGAGACAGAGAGTGAGAGGGAGACAAAGAGAGACAGAGAGTGAGAGGGAGACAGAGACAGAGAGAGGGAGACAGAGAGAGACAGAGAGTGAGAGGGAGACAGAGAGAGACAGAGAGTGAGAGRGAGACAGAGGGAGACAGAGACAGAGAGAGGGAGACAGAGAGAGACAGAGAGTGAGAGAGAGACAGAGAGAGAGGGAGACAGACAGAGAGAGACAGAAGGAAGAGCAGGAGTAAAGCAGGGGGACAAAAGATAAAATCTGACAATAAATAAGAAACAGAAATGTGATGTGTTTTTCTCTCGGTTTATGAAGCTACTTTTTCATCCCTTCTTTTCTTTTTTCTGTTTCAGGGTCAGTCTGTGTTTTCTCAGAGAATCCCCCTCAGACTTCCTTCATCTCTCCGTCCACACACTGGATTTATTTTTCTATTCTCCTCTTTACTCCGACATCGAAGGCTTGTGCAAATAAAAACATCATAAATCTGCAGCTGGACCCGGCTCGGCTGTCAGGACACAAACACGTGTGAGGGAAACGTTCACATTTGGATCCGAGGCTCAGAAGTCAGTGTTTCCTCGTCTGCGTGTTTACTGGAGTGAACGTGATGCGACTGAATAAGAAGCTGAAGCAGAAAAAAACAGATGATGAATAATAAACTGCTTCATAAAACTCAAAGCTCAGGTTGACAGGTTGAATTCAGTCCCAAAGAAAAATATTCCAGCTTTAATCTTTTCAGCTCTGAAGCAGGAAACACTGTTTTAATATATAGTTTGAAAACGAGTGTCGGAGACGATGACGCTTCACTATTGTCCACAATACTGGACAAGGTCAAACCACAGACTGTAAATAAAGATGACGACACGTCCGCCTCCAGAGCTGAAGTTCAAATCAGATACTCTCAGGTTTATAGGAACTTTACTATTTGTCACTACCCTGCTCAGCTTCAGCGTCACTAAATCCTACACACTGAATCTTTAACGTCTACTTTGACTTCTTAGTTTGGTCCATGTCCCATCTGCCAACATGGAGGAGGTGTGGTTTATGATCTATACTGCAGCCAGACACCAGGGGGCGGTCAGGACAGCGAGAGACAGGTCAAAAACAGATAAAGAAATAATCCAAGTGTGGTTTGACCTTTGAGAGAAACACCAGGAAGTTTGATGGATGGCTTCTCCCTGTGTGTGTGTGTGTGTGTGTGTGTGTGTGTGTGTGTGTGTGTGTGTGTGTGTGTGTTACCTGACCCTCTGGTCCTCTCGGCTGTTTGAGGACGCTTGGCTCTGATTGGCTCAACATGATGATGCAACAGGAAGCTAAAGCTAACAGCAGGTTAGCAAAGCTCAAAGACCGGACACGTCTGGCTCCTTTCAAACGTCCCTGTTGTCTCTGTCCCAGAGGATGTAACGCTGACACATGCACAAATGAGATATGACGCCACCGACAGGCGACCAGATGAAACGCACCTGTGAAAAGGACAGATTTCTGCAGGTTTGAAATTATAATGAATGAACACGACTTTAGAGGATTTCATGAGGTCAAAGTATTTTCTTTATAAACATGAACGAATCCTCCAGAAACATCCTTCAAACGTCCTCACATCAGCCGCGTGAATGACGGATGTCTTTATTATCATCGCTCTGTTGATAGACAATGAATCTGGACACAGTCTGTTCATCACGGAGGTCGCAGCGTCTGTGTGCAGGATCCAATCAGATCTGAGCAGACACACTGATGGACAAACCTCCCAGGACCTCGACCTGAGAGCGAGAGGAGGAGAAGAGGAGAACATGTGTGAATGAGACTGTGTGTGTGTGAGAAGGTGTTTTTAAAGTCATCTACCACTTTGTCCCAGAGAGACGTCTGAAGGACAGAGGAGTCGATCTGCTCCAAATAGAAATGTTCAGAGTGAATGATCTAAATAAAAAGTCCTCACATGTTCCTCACATGTTCTGCAGGTTCTGTGTGTGAGGACACATGTCTGAGTCAGAGTCTCTGGACGTTCTGGATCTTCTCCTGCAGCCTCTAGTGAAACATCAGGAACCTTCTCTGCGAGTGGGCGTGTCTCTGAGGTTTCTAACACGTGACGGACGTGAAACTGAAGAACACAAATGTCTCAGGATGAAGAAGAGGAGCTGTACACGTAGAAGACGAAGACGTCCACTTGGAAAGACGAGGAGGTTCCAGATGTTTTGGTGATGAGGGCCGACGCCGTGTGGACGAGCTGTAAACAACAACACTGATCTTTACACAGTTTAGACGTCATGTCCCGCCTCCTGCTGCTCTACAGGCTCCACCCCTCATTACCCACATGTTCCTGTTGTTGTGAACGAGTCGACAATCTGCTACACAACATGACTACACAACATGACTACACAACATGTCAGGACACTGGTCATGTGTTAAACAGAGAACCAGGAGATATTCCACCGTGTCACTGATACGATTTCTGAAACATTTAAAATATTTAAAAAAAACTCACACTGAATAAATATTTAAGTGTGTACTCACAGTGTGTGTGTGTGTGTGAGTGTGTGTGTGTGTGTGTGTGTGTGTGTGTGTGTGTGTGTCCAGACTGTAACCATGGCCTGAAACTGTCAGAGCTCAGTTTTAACTCGACCAGAGTGACAAGCCATCGAAGGCAGACAGCCTCCTGCTGCATGACTGGCAGTGTCATCTGCCTGTGTGTGTGTCTTTGTGTGTGTGTGTGTGTCTTTGTGTGTGAGTGTGTGTCTTAGTGTGTGTGTGTGTGTGTGTGTCTCCAGTGTGCCAGTGTATGATTGTAGAAACCTAAGCCAGCGTATCGTCACCACACTGACAGAGTGCTGTCTGGTTGTTATGCTGTGTGTGAATGTGTGTATTTCCTAATGAGCTGAATGTGTGTGTGTGTGTGTAAAATCCCAGAATTCATTACACGGCTGACGGGAGCGACAGGCGTTTGAAGCCTTGACGTTGGCTCACAGTCACTGACAGAGCGTCACTTTGCCGCCGTGTGTGACAGTTCTGCAGGAGTGTGTGGGACGTGAGGAGGGAGACGAGACCTCGCTCGGACTTTGTGTAAAATTCAAATGTGGAACATCAGCGACCTGCTGTCCTCTCCTCCTCCTCCTCCTCCTCCTCTCTCCTCCTCCTCCTCCTCCTCCTCTCCTCCTCCTCTCTCCTCCTCCTCCTTCTTCCATTAGTCGTCTTCTTTTCTCTTCTTTCTTCAGTTACCGTCACACAAACATCATGTGACCTGTGTCCGGTTCCTCTGAGGCTGTGGATGTAAATAATAAGACGGAGGAGGAACCATGTGACCAAACACATTTAATCTTTTAATGTGAAGATACAAACCACAGCTTCGTCTTTTCAAAATAACCAAGAACGAGTCAAAGTGAATTCTAAGATGATCTGACCTCTGACCCCCGAGTCTCTGCTCATGATCTGACACCGTTCAGTCTCTCTTTACGACTTCAGGCTGAAAACACAGATTACAACCAAGTGTTCGCATCAACACACACTAAAGTCTGAAGATTCAGATTTTCATCTGAATCACAAACTCACAAAAGTCTCTTGAGTTTGATTCTGGGAGGAAGTGAGGACGTGTCGGCCATCTTTATTTAAAGATTCATGAAAATTAAAGATGATGAGCGTCAAGTTTAGATGTTTCGGCCTGAAGAGGAGAGAACACACGAACAGCTGTGTGTGTGTGTGTGTGTGTGTGTGTGTGTGTGTGTGTGTGTGTGTCAGTATCTGCCCTGCGCTCCCAGCTCCGTCTCAGCCGCTCGTTCGATTTGCTCGTGGACGAGTCGAACCTCCTGCTGCGTCAGAGTTCGCTCCATGTGGCGGTAAATGATGCGGTAACACTGACTCCGCCTACCGGACCTGAGAGAGAGAAAGAGAGAGAAAGAGAGAAAGAGAGAGAAAGAGAGAGAGAAAGAGAGAGAAAGAGAGAGAAAGAGAGTCAGGAGGTTTAAAGGAGACGTGAGTTTTCAGTTTCTCTTTCCTCGAGTTTATTGAAAACGTTTTTTATGAATGAAAAAGTTTTTAAAAGTTAAAAGTCTGTGTTGAAGGAAGCTCCGCCCCTGACATCCTCCAGATGTCACATGACATCATAAGGAGGCGTGTACAAACAGCTGGATGCAGCAGCAACTTTACAAAGTACTGAACACATCTGTGCACACCCCCGACACTCGTCTTTTAATCTCCTCTCCTCCTCCTTTCACGTTCAGGACAATCTCTCTCTCCATCCATTCTCTATGTCTCTCTCTCTCCATCC